CAAGTGGTGGAGGGCTTTCCCCAACATTTCGCCGCCGCGCAGAAGCAGGCGGAGGTGTTTCGGCATTTCCTGCCCCGACGGTCTGCTGCTGTCTCCACCCAACCGCCGGCTGCAGCCCCTCTGTCTGCTCAACGCAGAGGGCGCCCTCCTGCGACCTCCACCTCCGCTCCGGCGCGGCCACAGCAGCAGCCTTCACAATGGCCACAGCGTGGAGCTGCCCCACTGCGGGTACGTCGGTGGTTTCCCTGGTCCCGCTTGTTCGGTCGCTGGGGGCCTGGTTAGCGCTCCCCAGGCCGTCCCGCTGGCTCATGAGAACCATCAGACTCGGCTACGCGTTTCAATTCGCCCGGCGTCCTCCCAAGTTCAGGGGCATTCGGTTCACCTCTGTGCTGGACAGGGATGCTCCTGTCTTGCGTGCAGAGATCACGGTCCTGCTGGCGAAGGACGTGATACAGCCGGTCCCTCCAGCCGAGATGAGGTCAAGTTTCTACAGCCCATACTTCATCGTACCCAAGAAAGGCGGTGGGTTACGACCAATCCTGGACCTGCGCGTACTAAACCAGGCCCTTCACAAGCTCCCGTTCAGGATGTTGACACAGAAACGCATCTTTCAATGCGTCCGTCCTTTCGATTGGTTCGCAGCGATCGACCTCAAGGACTCGAAGTTTCATGTCTCGATTCTCCCTCAACACAGACCGTTTCTCCGCTTTGCGTTTGACCTCCTCCAGGGAACGAGGGTTACACAAGTAACCGAGACGTTACATACGTAACCGAAACATTTTCCATTCTATGGCACCTTTAAATACTTTGGTGAGTTAATAAGAATATTGGTTACACTTTTAGTGTCCAATTCTCACTATTAACTAGCTGGTTATTAGCATGAATATTACTGGGATATTGGCTGTTTATTATTACTTTAAAACATATTAATGTCATATTCTGCAAGACCTTATTCTAAGTCCTTAATCCTACCCAATTCTTAAACTTAACAACTATTTTACTAAGTATTAATAAGCAGTAATTAGGAGTATATTGAGGCAAAAGTCATAGTTACTAGTTAGTTAGTGAGAATTTATGTAGTTAATTACTTTTTTAGAGTAACTTACCCAACACTGTGTGTGTGTGTATATATATATATATATATATATATATATATA